AGACGTTGCTATTGGGCGGTTTGTCGCTGCCTGTTTAGATTCAAAACAGATAACCATTATGGTCGGCATACTATTATTTATTAGATGTTTTATTATGAATATGAAACAATATTTAATAGAAAGAGAAATGTCGTACCGCGACTTACAAATTTGTTGATTTAGGCATCAATGGATGATGTTGTCAGGTCTAAGTTAAAGCAAATAACTGGGTTCACTTAGTATATGATACTTGTATAGTATGATAATATTTAATCTGTCAACTTTCTTGTCTCGGTGTTCATAATGTCAATATATTTGCCAGTGTATGACAGAACACACCCACTTTACAGTAATTCAATATGTATCTGGTAACACAGGATATTGATACAAAATTCATAAGTAACTATCATTAAAAATACTGCCGTTTCCAAAGACTTTCGCTGAAAGATTATATTTGAAGAAATCTGAATAGAGATGAGGGACACCTTCAAGGGTCAAATTCAGATTTAGGCTTTTCCAACACCACTTGTAGACATGTTTCTTGGGAGAGAACTTGTACCGATTTATATGCAATGGGTCAGCTCTATAAGCAAGGGACAGTTTTATATATATTTGACAATTTCGATGTCTTGTCCTAAACTATTTGAAGAGTTTCAAATAAAATGTGTTGGCATGTTGCCTGGATGGTGCTTATTCTGACATAATCCCTTTTCACGGTTGGGCTATCAAGGACGGTGGCATTCACCATCTTATCATTCAATCTTCAAATTCTTACTCTTTACGGGGAACCACACCCTCTTTCACGCTCATTCTTGTAATATCACTATTAAGCCGATTTGGGATAGTCTTACGTTGGCTTTCCAGAAAATCATGTAGCATAGGGGTATTAAGGTTCCCAGTGTACCAGCTTTGGCAAATAATGTCTAATTTTTGTAATCGTTTCATAGATTATTTTATCCCCGCTGTGATAGCAGAGGTAATTGGGAAACAGATTGCAAAAATATGTCGCGGTATGACAGGTGGGTAGGCCTACTTATTTTAATTTTTTCTCTAATTTACATCAATGCTTGTATTTAAAATGTATGTCCCGTTTGCTACTATTGACTGTGGAATTTGAATCACAACCGTAGCTGTAAGGGTTCAACTATTTTAAAACAGGGCTCCCAATGCACCAAGATACATTGGCACTTTTGACTAAACATTCGACACTGTTGTGCTATATTTATCAAGAAGAGAAATGTCAAAACCACGGGTAACACGGTACATTAAGACAACCAAGCCGTCCTTCTGCCTCACAGCGGATGAACTCGGATGAATCCTCTCTTGCTTCTCTCTCTTCCTCCCGTCTCTCCGTCTCTCGTCTGCACCTGCTCCTCGTCTCTGTTCGTCACTAATTGTCAGCAAACTCCTGGTTATATAGCCTCCGACAATAGAGAAAATAGATAAGACTCACGATTACATATAAAATGATGACTGCCCAGTGTGTATTCCTTTGAAGTCATGCAGAGCTTGTACATAGACCATATGTTCGTTCCATTAGAACGACTATACGTTGTCCTTTGCCAGGCCCTCCCTCCTACGTCACTGACAAGGGGGAACTACGCCGGAAAATCACGAGGTCAGAATAGTTAAACTGGTTTGGCTTTTAGTACGTGTGAACGCAACACGATGCTGTCTTAAAACCCCCAGCGATTATGAACTGGTTTAAAAATAAGCGTCTGAACGGGCTATAGGTTATATGTAGCCCACACTATAAATAGTGCTTTATCTTCATTTTGTTATTTTTCTGTCTTTATCTTGTTTCGTGACAGTCCCAACTTGTTATGAATAGAAACAGTTCTTTGATTTCAACGGAATTATCAGTGCTCTGAAAATCGACTATGTATCTGTTATCGATATATCCACTTAATCCATTAAGGATAACTCAATTCCCGAATATTCAAATCTTAGTTAAGTTCAGTCGTATCTATGTGAGCATTTTGATTACACTGACTTTTGTAATTGCAATGTAGGGCTACATATACTCAGCCAAATTAAAAAATTGACACTCGTGATTTTTGGGACTAGATTTTTAATATTTGGTTTAAGGCAACTATTTTAGTGTTATGTTGTGCACAGACGACCTTGACATCAACAGAAAGCAAGAATACGTCTCGCTGAAAGTCCTTGACATTGATAACGTTCGTGATGTCACAGTAAACCCCAAAATGAAATTCACAGACTTGGAGAACAATCGGAATAAAGTGTTTAGTGACGGTTGTGGCCTCCTCTAGCGTCTCGTACTGACACACAACGTCTTCTCATGGATCTCAGAACATTAGTAAACACTACCCGATGAAGACGTCGCCACTGCTCAGCAAGAGCATGTTGAAGGTCCTGCAACGTCAGCGGTGGATTCACATGCTGACGAACACGTCGACCCAGTTCGTCCCAGATGTGTTCAATAGGATTAAGGTCGGGGCTAAGCGACGGCCAATCCAGGACTTGGACACCGGCATTTTTTTAAAAATTCTGGGTAGCAATTGCTGTATGGGGTCGAGCATTGTCTTGTTGAAACGTTAGTCCAGGCCCATGTCTCTGCATAAACGGAAGAAGAACAGGTTGCAAAATCTGATCCATGTACTGGACAGCATTTAAGTTCCCTTGGACAACAACAAGAGAACGTTGATGTGCACAAAAAGAACCCCGAACCATGACGCTGCCGCCACCAAATCGGTCAACTTCTCTGACGCATACTTGAGCGTAACGTTCACCTCGTCTGCGGTACACTCGGACCCTGCCATCGGCAAATCTCAAAGTGAATCGAGATTCGTCACTAAAGACAACCGAATTCCACTGTCTTTGAGTAAATCTTATGTGTCTTGTGGCCCACACAAGTCGGTTACGGCGATGAAGAGGTGTTAATATTGGTCCATTATAGGGCCTCCGAGCTCGAAGACTAGCAGTCTGCAAGCGATTTCGAACAGTTTGTGCAGTTACTCTTCCACCAAACATCTCTCTACTTGTGGAGGTTGCAGTGACAAATCTGTTTCTAAGATGACGTAATCGTATTGCTTGATCTTCCTGGAGTGACGTCACACGTGGCGCTCCCGCCCCTGGGCGGTCGGCAATAGTTCCAGTTTGAAGCACTCTCATTCTAAGATTAATTATTGTCTGGCGTGAACAATTAAAGGCTCTTGCAACAGTGACCACAGATTGACCAGCATAGAGCCTACCTATAGCACGTAGACGTTCTACATTTGAAAGGCGCGGCATTTTCTAACAAAGATGAAAATAACAATTTTAATTTGTTTTTCCAGTTCAAGTTACGTGTGCGTCTTCAGTTTAAGAAAACTTGCATCGATTGACCTCACAAGTTTGTGTTTGCACGTGTTTTTCAGGTTTTTCATCTTTATATGCTCAAAAGTCACGTGATCCACGTGACTTTACAATTTTATGAAATTAAAGGCTTCTTACTACTTACTACCGTTAGAAACACTTTAAAATTTATTTGACTTACCAGAAAAAATTTTTTTGTTGAAATTCATCAGTGTCAAGTTTTTAATTTGGCTGAGTATATTTTAATATATTTTAGTTACTTCACCTCGCGCTAAATTCCATCCAGCCTATGGTCAGTCATGGCGTTGGTATTAGGGCACGATTTCGAAGCAGAATGCTTGACTTATTTCGAAACTTCCAATTCATATCCAGGACGGAAGTTCCAGAACATAGGCATATTCGATAAATCAGTATAAGTAACACCATATAATTCTTTGGGAATCTTAACAATATCTTGTGTGTAACAAAATGGGGATCTTTCTCTGTGTCCAGAATTAACGTTTCAATTTTACAGGGGATTTGTAATTTATAATCCGATAAAAATAGTTCATATTTGCAATCGTTTGGTAGCTTATCTTAATTTGGGGTTAAAAGTAAATCTAGACAATTATATAGTTAAAAAAGTGATTTATTACCATATGATTCTTTCACAAATGCAAATAAAGACATTCATTTAAAGGAATTAAACCTTCTTGTGCTCTCTTTAATAGCACTATAAGATATAGGCCTGCAGCCAGAATTTCTTGCTCAGAAACACAATGCCGATTATTGCATCTCCCATCTTATAACATCAGGAACTAAAATCAAAGAGTTCCAAGAAAAATGTTTGCCCAAACTTGATTTAGGGCCAAATGAAAATCGTCATAATTGTCAAGTAAATGCTATAGTTCTACTAACCATTCTAAAGTTGACATAAAATCAAATAATTAAATAGGACGGAGGGCCTGACAAGGGGGCGTAAACCGCTGGAATTCGAAGTAAGTGTAGGCGGTAACGTCGCTGCTTGGGCAAATTTTTCTTTACACACACGCCTAGTGCGGAACAGTAAAATACTGAATAAAAATATTATTTAAACTAAATACTGTTATCAATAAATGCTGACATTTGACATAAAGGAAGATAACTCCTTGTAACGTTAATGGATTTCCAAAATTCCTTGTATAGCTATGTCCTTTATGTTTTGGGTATTCTTGTTTACATCAAAATCTAACCAATGCACTAGTCTTGGCCAATGATGAAAGCAATAGGTATGTATTTTCGCAAATATTTAATTTATGCCAACTTCAGAATTCCTTGTATAACTATAGCATTTACTTAATGATACCTTGCCACGTATAAACTGGTTGACTTGATGATACATTTGGACTAAAAATATATTCAAACTAATTAATCTATCAAAATTTGCTTCAAATCCTTCTCAAAAGATTGTATACGCGAGGGAATATCCCTGCTATAAAAAATATATTAAAATAGGTCTAAGCCATGTCTGAGTCACGGGACTTGGCTTACGTGGTACCTAGCAACGGGTGCGAAGCCGAGGAAGAATTTATTGCACATACGAGACGATGTTGTCTTTAATCGCTGTCCATTTATCATAAATATCGAACTTATTGTAAATACATTTTCACTTGTACATTACTTGCCTACTTCTAAAATGTAAATCGATTCCAGAGACAGCTATAACACAATCACTGTAATCATAATTTCACGTGTACATTGATTATTTATTTCTAAAATGTAAATACATAGGCTATGCCTGTTCCCCAATCCCTATTCAGATACAAATCTGAAATATTGCTTAAAAAAAATATATATATCGAAGCCTAATTAATTCTCTGATTATCAACTGCCCACGTCTTTTTCCGTGATTTTTATCTCAGAAACTGTTTTACGTTTAAGCTCACCATCACGTTTATCAACATATACATCAAGATTAGACAATCTTCGCGTGCAAACTCTGACGTCACTCGAGCAGACATCCCTAATCGTCGGGTTGCCGGTTACGGAAACCCTTACATTTTTGTACTGTATGCGCACCATGGGTGTTTTTCAGGGAATCCAGTATTTTTCTAGTAAGATTGGATGTTTCTACTTTCCATATAAGCCTATACCAAAATTGAAACACTTTTATTGGAAATAACCACCCGATATATACTTTTGTGGGAAAGTATCTTTAACAATTATGACGATTATCTTCTGGCCCTAAATCGAGTTGGTGCAAAAATTTTGTTTGGAACTAAGCTTAATTTGTTTTAAAATATGCTCATGTATTTTATACTGGTTGTAGTTGGGGGGGGGGGGGCATGTAGCAAAACTTCACGCTAGAAATTATGGCTGCTGTGAACCGACGGCATATAATTTCAATCTTCAAAGGAACTAACCCGTATATTACTGGACACAAACATGTCACGAAAAAGAATCCATGAAATGTCAATTCCATGCTGTATTCATTCATACATCACATTCATAAATAACATGGAAAGGTGTCGCTGATAATATAAAATGTATTTTCGATTACATGTAAATAGTACAATGTAAAAGTCCTAATACCGGTGGCCATTGTGTTTATAATTTCAAAAAAAATAATACGAAATTCGCCTTATGGTGGAAGTGGGGGGGGGGGACTAAAGATGCGGAGCTTAATCCAGAATTCCGTGTGGCGAGTGTGTGTGGGTGTGTGTGTGTGTGTGTGTGTGTGTGGGGGGGGGGGGGTGAGAGTTAAGAATGTCAAAATAATACGAAATTCCAGTTATCGTGGTATACATCACTGGAAAGTATTCTTTTTTTTTTTAATGTATCAGTTATTTCCTGGCACATTCATGATTACGTGCAAATAATATTTTCATACAGAGACTGAAGTTGAAGTTGAATGTAGCGGTGAGGGGGACTGAAGATGAAGATCTTAATCCAAAATTCCGTATATCTACATTAGAAATGTATAGAGAGAGAAGAGAGAGAAGGGGGAGGGGTGGGCGTTAGCGAGTTCTTAAAATGTCAAAGTAATACGAAATTTCAGTTATCGTGTTATACATCACTGGAAAGTATGCTCTTTTTTTTTTTTAAATCTATCAGTTATTTCCTGGCACAATCATGATTATGTGCTTTAGAAGAGGGAGAAAAATCCTCGCTGTTTTGTCGAAATAAATGTGTCGTTGTCAAACATTAACCTAATTGCTAAAAATAAACTATACTTTCAATTTATCTTATTTGTCGAAGGCTCGGATTAGCCATACCAATCACGAAATTTCGTTGCAATCGCGGTCATCCAGCAAATTTCTTATAGTGTGCCAGTTTGATTTCCTCTTATTGTGTGGTGAATACCCTTATAGTATACTGGCTTAGATTGTTCCAGGTTTATCTCGGCGTCGTTTCCGTTTATGTTAATAAGTCACGTGAAATCATACATTTGCATAATATCAAAGATAGTGCTGTGCGTAAGATGCTATGTAGAAAGCGTGAAGGGCAAAGAAAGAGAGAGAAATGGGGTTTAACGTCCACTCAACACAAACTAGGTCATTTCGGGACTAACACATAGTTTAATTTTATTTCAATAATTCGCTTGCGCGTAGGGGTCTTTAGCAGTGGAATGAAACAAGAGGACCCGGAGAAAATCCACGAGGTTGGACAGGCGACCCTACTCCTTGTCACGTACAACCGAGGATTCGAAACCCCACCAGTAGACTCAATGATAGACCTTATGATACACCGCGTATGTGCTAACCATTCGGCCATAGGGGTATTAAAACTTTGTACAGTGTACTGTTTACATATTCTAATCAATCGAAAAGACATTTTAGAAGAGTATTTTATATTGGCAGAGATACTCTTCCATAAAATAAGTCACATTAATTCAGTTATCAGAAGTTGAACATAAAATAAATTATAATAAACAAAATCGGGAACAAGACTACAAACGTATTCTCTAGCACTGTACATCGGCTCTTTATCGATATAGAACGTAAACTGTAATAGGTAGGGTGGTTTCCTGCCTCAAATATTTGTGCTGAAAAAACTGAAGCTACTTGTGAGAATGATGCATCTCTAGAATGAAAACTATTCAGTCACGTACTTGCTCGTGCACTGCAGGAAGCAAACAATCACCCATAATAGACATTCACATGACAATATTTATTCACTTATTTATCAATGAAGCCATGAAAAAAAATTTTCTTTACGCGTTTGAGCTTAAAATTACTTAGTTACGAAATTTATCAAAACTCGGCGATTTTATTTTTAATTTAGTTGATTGTAACGGTTCTCGGTTCAGATTACCGCATGTAGTTCCGTACTTTTTCTACTTTTTGCATAAACTCGGGATCTACTGACCGTATTTTGGATCTAACTAAACATGCAAGTTTTTACTTCGTAAAACCTGCTAAAGAACAGAATAAAAGCAACCCGAAAAGTTGTTAAATCGCACGGATTGTTGTTTTTAGAAGCTCAGACAGACAAAGTTGTTGATTTATAAAATGCTGTTGTCATAGAAAACAGAAGTTAATATTGATTCGCGTGGGTACAACAGGACGAAAACAAAAATGGATCACAATCCAAAGTCTTATACCACAATTGCCTAGGCTATTTAAAAACAGATCACCTAAAAAAAACCTATTGTCTTTTTTTACTCTTAGTATTATTATTATTGTTAGCGTTACGTTTGCTGTTGTTTTTTATATAGTTTTGATAGTAAAAGTTTCCAAACAAGACTGCCACAATGCTCGTGATAATGATGCAGTAAACCATTACAAATTTAGGGAATCTGCAACTTGGGCGAAGCAAATTATAGCCCGTGTGTATAATAATCATAGCAAACTGGGTCTGAAAAAAAAAGAAAAGATATCCAATTAAGCTTGGTATTTCAAATTTCAAACAGTCCCAGTTTTCGATGAAGAGAGGCATTCTGCTATTCCACATATGAGAACCCTACCAATCCCCCATCCCATCCCATGACTAGAGAGGAATATGAAATTGTGTTTAAACAAAGCTTGGCAAAGCCGACAATCGCATGAACACTACTTTCCCTTTGATTGGTGCCAGTACCACAGGCGCGTGTAAAGTGGAAAATCTTTCAAAAACTAACATTAAGATGTGACTCTAAGTAAGCAAGAGTATAAATCAGTTGGTCTGAAGCTGATTCTCTAATTCAGGGGAAATAACCCATCTGGGACCTCTAATGATTTCCCCATTGACGTTAATGTTAATTCTCGTCACTTAGACAAGGTCTAACTTTTTCCCAAATTTTCGTTTGGTAGAACGCTTTCTATCACAGATGGAGGAACATGTGGCAACCTCTTGCCCAAAAGCACGTATGAGGTTCACTATGGAAAACTTGAGATACACAAGCTGGAAGTAGAGAAAAGTAAACATGCAATTTTTGACCCTACATTTCAACCTAACCAACCTCTCAAGTCTTGTATCCTTCCGCCTCAAAATCATGAATATTCACCAAAAAAATGGCAGAAAATATATTTTCAAACCCTTTTCTGCGATTCTACACCAAAATGGCAACAAAAATCGCCATGCAAAAGGGAGGAAAAGGGTGAGAAAGACTAAAAATAACTTTCGCCCTACATTCTAACTACGGTAGGTAAAGCCCATATTATACTCATTAAGAAATTAAAACTATATACTAACCATTTGTATTTTTGTTAAATATTTTTTCCACCATAGGTATGGCTGAATCGCAGGGCCCAGAGCAGACAAGCAATAATATCCATACATTAATATGTGTACAAAACTGTTTATCATTGGTAAGAAAAATACTGAAAATAAAAAAAATGTCAGTCTTTACTATTACCAATGATTACATTACTGGGGTACCGGTTTAAAGTGCTCTTTGTGGGGTTGCCAAAGTACGCGGCTAGTTGGTGTCGAGGTCGATTTCGGTGATTGATTCAGTACCGGTTTGGCTGGGTCCAAGGAGACTAGAATGAAAAAGCATAGATTAGTGTCTATTTGGTTTCCCCATTTTTATTAGTACCCATTTTATAACATCCAGGACTTGATTTATCTAATTGATTATTTTCTTTTCATTGACTTTATGTAACTCTCTACTAGAGTGTTATCCAATCATCTAACTGTTTATTATAGTATAAACCGGTATGTAACTCTCTACTAAAATGTTCTCCAACCATCAAACTGTTTACTCTCTACTAGAATGTTCTCCAACCACCCAACTTTATTATAGTATTAACCCGTATGTAACTCTACTGCAACGGTTTATTACAGTATAAACCTGTGGGCAACTCTCTACTAGAGTGTTCTCCAACAACCCTGGCCAGGCCTTTCATCTAAACTAAGACCTCAAAGCGAACAGAGAATTGATAAGTAAGAATTGCAAGGTAACAGAACATACGACCACAGCAGTTACTTGTCTGGAGCGTTCACAATATTTTTCAAATTATATTTTGAACCTGTTTAACCAATTCCATCAAATATGTTAAATCTGTGAACGCAGGTATTGTGTTTTAATAGAAAATCGTTTTAAATTTTTATTTCATGGTCTTATAGTAAAATAAAGCAAGTGAAACTCACCACTACCACCACCCAAATATCTCACAATAAAATGCCAACTAAATGGCATAATTAAATGGTGAAATACATGTAATGTTGATATTTGATTATTCTTCTTTCTCAGAACAAAAAAAATCTGAAATGAAAAATACAAACATAGAGTTACAGATATCAAGACAATGTCATTTGGTAACAATGTTTCATTCAATTCAATCACTGAAGTGGCAATCTGTGAAAAATTGAGATGTTTAATTCAATTAGTTGTCGAGATATCTCCATCTAAAAAAACAATTTGGAAAAAAGACGAATCTAACCCTTAAAAGGTAAACATCAAATGATGTTTTGCTGCCAAATGGTTATTAAGTGGAAGAAACAGATTTCATAGGACAGCATAAGAAGGAATGGGACTGTAAGTAATCCATAATGTTTTATGGGATTTTAAGTAATCCATAATGTAATCTACAATATTATCCCTATATTCAAAACAGCACATTAGTATTGTGCATAATATTTAAAACATTTTTCATAAAAAAAATATTTTAAAAAGTATGTTACCAAAGTTTTCTGTTTCCTCCCTCGGTAGAATTTTATGTGGCGCATGCCATAATTTAATTGATGTGTCATTTTTGGTTTTATTGGGTCCTATATTGTAGCACTGGCAGGGGAAACCATGCTGGAAAATCCTCTCTTAGCCAACACCGGAATCGACCCCCTTACCTCCTGGTTAGAGAGTCAGCGCCTTACTCGCTGAGTCACATTGGCTCTAAATCTCCTTTGGGAGATACACTATAATCTTGCAATTCTAAATATAACAATATCAGATCACGATGATAACATGTGAGAATGATGTTGTCACGATGTGTAAATTTACAACAGATCAATTTTCGCAAACAGAAAAGTTAGCTACAACAAGCCTGGAAATACGCTCACACAGCATGTTATCCAAAAGGAAAAGCTGGATTTTGACCTAATGTAACTGATAACGAAAGTAGCCTTCAAGAAATCTGACCTCTATGGTGTTCACAAGCTTGACAAAAGCTGTTAAAAAAATTGAAACATCTATCAAGTACGTAGCATCTACTGTGCATGATAGGGTTCGTCATCTCATGGCCCAAATGATTCATAGGAAACAAATTTCTGCCCAAAATGGTAACGGGGGGGGGGGGGTGTTAAAAACAGTAGACTATTCTCGTTCACAAGGTTTTTGTCAAGGGGAAATGTGATAACTGTTTGTAGTTTACATTACTTTATTTTGCTTTCCTGCCGCCATCTTTACCTGTCTTAGATAAATAAAATACTGATAATTCCGATATTTCATTGTACAAGGCAAGTCTTTGTGAAGTTCTCTTTAAAACCCCGGATGTTTATATTAAAACAGTACACAATATTTAGTTTTGAGATACAATCTGGCTTGTTGACCTATAATATTGGCCTATCATTAATTTTGTTTTTAATAAAAGTATATTTCCACACCTACCGTATCTAGTAATTCTATTAATTTGGTTATAAAATACAGCCAATGTCCCCGAGCCATCTGAAATAATAAGATCAGATTTCACAAATTTTAATACAACTCTAAAATATATTTTTCGTCGAATTCCAACTGTCAAGTAAGTGTTCTTTAATGTACACGCCAACGTGTACACGGGATATCCGTTTTCCGAATGACTAAATACTACCCCTTTCTAGGTACCTCTCCTTGCATCATTGGAAAGAACTTTCTCGGCCAACACTGTGGTCGTACCAGGGACCTCCTGATATAACTACATTACTCTTATTTAGAACGTATAATTCTTATTTTTCATGTATTTTTAAAATCTACTATTGCCCGCTCTGTCCATAAAATCAATGTATAGATAATGTGCGTATTGAAGTAGCTAAATCTCTAACTCAATATTATCCAAAACCACGAATAATAATTTTAAAATAGTGTTCCATTTCAATCAATATCGATGTTATCTTACCATGAAAATATTGGATCCTAATATCCAATATTTAAGACACAATGAACATTTTAGTACACGACGTCGTGTACTCTATGGTTTCGAGTGCCATTTGTAATGAACGAAGAAAAAATACCACATAAAACAATGCGGAAGTATTTAAAAATGTCCGATTCACAAATAACATAATAATAATTTAAACAAGCCAACAGTGAGGCTGATGTCCCCCGCCGAAATAGGAAAATAATTAGAGGACACATATAAATTTATCACAAATTATCTTTTACAAAGTATTGAACAATCAAACAGTATATCTTTACTTATAGTCTAACAATCAAAGTAGGAGAGTTATTGTTTTCCAAAGTCTCGACCAATCAAATTGCGTATCGCTCTGCTTACCCTGAGCAGAAAATGCTCATTATCAAACTTAGTCAAGGTATTACTGTAATGAAACTATACACCAAGTTTCATCAATCTCACTTAATTAGAACTAAAGTTATCGTGTCCCAAAGCATCAACCAATCAAATTGCTTATCTCTGCTTACCCTAAGCGGAAAATGCTCATCTTCGAACTCCATCAAGGCATTGACCTAATCAACACATACACCAAGTTTGAACATTCTAGCTCAATTAGGAAGAGAGTTATCGTGCCCCAAAGTATCAACCAATCAAATTGCTTATCTCTGCTTACCCTAAGCGGAAAATGCTCATCTTCGAACTCCATCAAGGCATTGACCTAATAAACACATACACCAAGTTTGAACATTCTAGCTCAATTAAAAGTTATCGTGTCCCAAAGCATCAACCAATCAAATTGCTTATCTCTGCTTACCCTAAGCGGAAAATGCTCATCTTCGAACTCCATCAAGGCATTGACCTAATCAACACATACACCAAGTTTGAACATTCTAGCCCAATTAGGAAGAGAGTTATCGTGTCCCAAAGCATCAACCAATCAAATTGCTTATCTCTGCTTACCCTAAGCGGAAAATGCTCATCTTCGAACTCCATCAAGGCATTGACCTAATCAACACATACACCAAGTTTGAACATTCTAGCCCAATTAGGAAGAGAGTTATTGTGTCCCAAAAAGTGTGACGGACAGACAGACGGACAGACAGAAGGACAGACAGACGGACAGACAGACAGACAGACAGACAGACAGACGGACGAACCCATTTTAATAGTCCCCTGCTTTCTTCGAAAGGCGGGGGACAAAAAAAACAACACAACAAAACCTGTAGAATGGACTATGCAGGCGTAAACGACTGTCGTTCACTTTAGACTGTTCACTAATTTCACCGAACATAATTGATTAGAAATTGCAATAAAATGAAATTTAAATCAGAATATATACATTCATATTACATTAATATATATTTAACTTACCCGTATAGCAAAGGGATTATCGGAATAATCTGGTAATTGGCAGTCTAAATTATAACCTCCCTGTATAGATACTATTAAAAGCTACAACAAAAATGGTTTCAGTTCAATAATAAAGGCAAGATAGATTGGAGAAGCTCAATAAAATAAAGTCTGAATATAAATGATTAATATTTCGGAATATTAGATGAAAGTCATTGTCTACTACTTTTTCACTCTTGTCCTAGGGATGAGAGGAACATAGTTTTTGCTCATTGTTATCAAGGTGGGTTCTTTCTTGTGTCTTTTATAGATGAACGGATCATCCCCGTTTCTATCGATATTCGGCGATATTTATCATATTTTTTAAAAACAATTCCACGATCTCCAAGTCTACGTTAAAATTTTTAACGTTTTAACTTAATAATGTTTATCAAGATAGGCTCTTTCTTGGGTGTTTTAAAAGCCCCCGCCCCCTCCACCTCGATAGTCGGCGACATACCTTTATACGGTCGAATGGCGTGCACAACTATAAATAACTCAATGATCTCCAGGTCTACATTAAATCCACAAATAAAATAAATAAAAGGACTCACTTCAAAGAATAAATATGTAGAGAGGATAATCATTGCTATATTATACAATAATAATACAGCCTTTAAATTAAATGGTTTTCTATTTTCCATAAACTTGGGTCCATAGATTATGCAGAAGTAATACGTTGTTAATATTGATAAAGTTGGAAAAACTGATTCCATGAATAACCAGTTTTTTACACGCGAATCTAGAAATAGAAAGAAAAGAAATCATATTATCATGGAAATTGTAGCATTTCAAAAGTTAGATGGTCCTCAAGATAGTGTTGATCGGTATAACATTCAATGAAAACTGTAGATACATGAAACGAATCACTGTGAGGAGTATGTTCTGTTTGCTATAGTGATCAGTTTGTTCACTTTTAACTTTGGCAGCGACGTACAAGAGCACACTTCCTGTCCACTTGCTGCAGTTTATAGATCTTTCTGAATTCGTACGTTTGATTTATTTTTATTTCATAGAAACACTATCTTATTTCAAACGGATAAACTCGGAATTGGTAACAGCTTGTATGACAGGTGTACATATTAGTCAGATAAAGAAAATAAATTGTATGCACAGCAGAGGTGATATTTTGTAACTAAATTTAACCAAAATGATCAGACAAAAGAAAGACTTAGATTATATTGAAACGACTTGTGACATCAAAGTATTTATAAATGTAATATTTAAAAGTATTCAATGTAGCTTGATTATTTATACCAAATAAAAGCGATTTAGTTAATTGGTGATGCAGAGGTAAATGATTTATTGTCTGGTTTCGTGCATCGATCTTCACATCGATGTAAGATGGAGGGGGTTGGGTGGCCGAATGGTTAGCGCGTCGTACGTTGCATCATAAGGTATATGATTAAGTCAAGGGGCGTGGTTTGAATTGGCCACTTGTACGTGCCAGGGAATAGGGTCGCCTGTCCAACCTCGTGGGATTTCTCCGGGTTCTCCGGTTTCCTCCAACTGCTAAAGACCCCTACCCCTATGTCAAAAACTTTGCTAATGATACAGAACATTGATCGGTGGCTTGACAAAACGCGTGTTTTAGATCAGTAAGACAGTGTGTCCCCATGCTGACGCGTCGTTAAACATCATTTAATTTGTGTTCCACGAGTGCAAAATTAGGCCAACTTGAAATGAACCATTGTATAATGATGGTAGAATTGTAGGTTATTATAAGATCTATCTATGTCGCTTGATCTATGGGCGTTAAGATTTATAGCAAGCAAAATACCTGTCGTCTGGATAATCTGGTCGTTTATACCATAAATATACTCCATTTTGTTATCTGAAAAAAAGAAAGAAGCCTATTCCGTATTTACGATTCCACAAAAATACCACAAAATTTATTGTTATCATTGTTGAATCATCAAATGACAAGTTATACCAGGTTAGCATATCCTGATAAAAGGGTCGACACCCATTTCTAGAAGTTAAAGAGACAAGAAATACAAGACAATTTTACTTCAGCGTTATCAACCAACCTTTCAATATGCCCACTAACGCCTGGATAAATTCCAATGTTTTCAATCGTCGACCTCAATACCACAATAAATATATGCCACTCATTAATTACTTGCATTAGTTTATCACCCTGCTTAACCTGAGCTGAAAATGCTCAGTATCGAACTTAGTCAAGGTATGGATAACTATACACCAAGTTTACCTCACTTGAAAATGTCACCATGATTGATTCTCAAATAGAAACAAGCCAACAGTGAGGCTGATGTCCCCCGCCGAAATCCTCAAATAAATAGATGCAACCTATTAATTAATCGCACATCTATTTTTTTCAAAAGTATCGAGCAATCAAACTGATTATCAACTATACACTAAGTTTCATCACTCTCTATCAGATAGAATCAAAGTTATCTTGTCCCAAAGCATCGACCAAGGAAATTGCTTATCTCTGCTTTGCTTTAGCTCGATATGTTAATCATTGAACTCAGTCAAGACGAACATCTACATCAAATTTAAACATTCTACCCCAATTAGAAGCAGAGTTGTTATGTTTCAAAGTGATGACCAATCAAAATGCTTATTGCTCCTTAGCCTAAGCAGATAATTTTCAACATTGAACTTAGTCAAGGTATTGATGAAATGAAACTATACACCAAGTTTCATCACTCTCACTTAATAATAACTAAAGTTATCGTGTCCCAAAGCATCAACCAATCAAATTGCTTATCTCTACTTACCCTAAACAAAAAATGCTCATCTTCACACTCCATCAAGGCATTGACCTAATAAACACTTACGCCAAGTTTGAATATTTTAGCACAATTAGAAGGAGAGTTATTGAGTTCCAAAGTCTCGGCGAATCAAATTGCTTATTGCTCTGCTTACCCTGAGCAGAAAATGCTCATTATCGAACTTAGTCAAGGTATTGATGTGATGAAACTATACACCAAGTTTCATCACTCTCACTTAATTAGAACTATAGTTATCGTGTCCCAAAGCATCAACCAATCAAATTGCTTATCTCTGCTTACCCTAAGCAGAAAATGCTCATCTTCGAACTCCTTCAAGGCATTGACCTAATAAACACCTACACCAAGTCTGCACATTCTCGGTCAATTAGAAGAATTATTGTGTCCCAAAAAGTGTGACGGACAGACAGACGGACGGACGGACCAACAGGCAGACGGACTGACAGACAGACGGACGAACCCATTTTAATAGTCCCCTGCTTTCTTCGAAAGGCGGGGGACAAAAAGTCTTAGTTCTATTGAACACAAGAAAAGCGTTTTATACCGTTATTATGTGCAAATGATTTAGTCAGTGATACATAGGACACTCCCTAACAGATCATAATGAAATAGAAATACCATAGTCTAGCCTGAATTAAAAAATAGTGAATTGTAGTATTGAGTTGCCCTGGTCACTGATGTCAGTAAATATTAAATTATCCCGAGATACAGCTCATTAATCTCAAATTCACGGAACGGCGACCTTTGGACTCATTGAAGTGTATAAAACATTACAGTATAATGTATATAAATAGTAGTATCGCATAAAGCCTACTACCATACCGGGTATTATTTTCTTTTAATCGACACCCTTAATTACTTTCGACTAAGAAATGGGAACTTTTATCTGCAAATATTCAAAATAACAACAGAGAAAATAACAGACGGTCGCTCACTATTTGTCCTGTTTCTGTGACTGACTGTAGTGTCATATGAAGTTCACCTGACTATAATAAAGTGAGGTCTTAAAATAGTAGTCGACATATTCGACATACATCCATGTCGTTGACACGATACACTTTACGCTAGGCCTACACAAACATATACCACATATATGTATATATCACACAAAATTTAAACTCAGAATTCCCTGAAGTTACATCGTCGTCCTATGTTATTAAAAAAGTATAATCTTTGCATAATTGTGTCATATTTTTTCGTGTATTTATTTACTTATTTTCATTCACGGCGTTTAAAAAGACACACAAAAAAAAAATGCATATTTTACCCCTAATGATACACTTCAGTATGATTTATACCGCTATATCCTCCTTTCTTCTACGTATGGTGTTATCTCCATCAATTAACCGAAAATATACTAGGTCACGTGACATTCATAGTAAACAACGCCCTCGCACATATTTGCTCTTGGTGGTTTCTGTTTCCGAATCACTCCACATGCTCCTTTATGGAGGCAGACCACCATTAATTTCCACATTGACTTCAATGTTAATTCTGGCCTCTTTGCCCACCTCCATCTTTTCCCCAAATTTTGGTTGGGCTGAATGCTTTTCACTACAGACAGAGGAACAAATAGTCATGTCTTTGCACTAAAATTTGTATTTTGAGATACACAAACTTGAAGAAGCATACTACAAACATGTAACTAGTTGCCGTACATATCACCGTAGCCAACCTGATAACCCCGTTATCCTTCCGCCTCCAAATCATGAATATTTACCTGGCAGAAAATGTTAATTCAAACCCTCTTCATCCATTCCAGACCAAAAATCAACAGAAATGAGCATGCAAAGGGGGAGAAAAGAGACACAGAGAGAATTGGTATAAATAGACGAACTACATACAATTCAAGGGGGTAAATGCGGGGGTGGGGGTGGGGGTGGGGGTATTTCCCCCAGGAAATGAAATAATTAAGTGCAGTCGGCCGCAAAATTATGCATCAGCGACTAAATGAAAGAATGCCAAAATATATTAAACAGCAAAAAAAAAAAAGCAACAACAAAAAAAAAACCAAAACAAAAAGCAACAAATAAAACAAAACAAATCGTCAGTACGGTTTCAAAATCAGAGAGGCACTTCAATCAAATTATTCTAGAAAACGACTTACTAAATAGATCAAAGCAATTTTTTGTGAACAGTATGTTGACACATTAATTAGTGATTAATTCATCACAATTCCAAGACATTACCTACTTGCAAAATTCTTAATAAATAACATGAATTCCCATGGGTAGTACTCAATTTTACTCATGTTATAAATGTTTTCTGACCATCAGAATTCTAGATTCAAAAATTCCCAGGGGAAGCATGCCCCCGGACCTCCCTAGAAAGCTCGCACCTGCCATGTACGGCTAGTGACTGCGTCCCTCGTATTAGGGGCCTGTTGCATCAGTCGGTCTCACGTTTCCTAAACACCCCCCCCCCACCAAAAAAAAAAACAAAAAACAAATTCGATACGCACGCCCCTGCCTATATTAACCCCTACATCTGCTTACGGTATAATGGCAAATGTATTTTAAGAAAGTGAGAATTGGTGGTACAGAATGTGCTTACAAATTACGCTATATTATGAAAGTATGTTTTGATTTTGACACAACACCCTTATTCCTAAACTGCGTTGATAGTGTTGAATAATGCTCCGTTCTAGTTACACACATTCTGTTTACTTGCACGCCTGGATCCAGGTTTTGGCAGGGGTATTCCGGCATGGTTTCCCTTTGTCAGTGGAGCAGGAGTGGGAACCTGGCAAGGAACCCAAAATACAAATTTTAATAATAAAAAACCGAGGCACATTCTTGAGTCTTCTAATGAAATCACAAATTAAATATTGAAAACGAAATACTTGATATGTGCGAGTAATGATGATTATAAATTAAGAATATATACTGATATAATAAATAATTTGAATTTATTCTATATTGTTCATTCAGATACATTTAAGCCAAAGGACATTTTATTCTAAAAGAATCTATATGAAATTTATTAAACAAGCTGTCATACATTTTGGATATTATAATTTACACGATGATATAAATAAATTTGAAAACAAGTCAAAATTAGAATTTCTAAATCATGTTATACTCTTAGATAAATATTTCATATTCAAATTAAAATGGACAGATGTAATCAAACTATTTTTTTTCTAATATCCTCCGTTTTCAAGGGACTACTTTTAGACTTTTTGTATGGAGTACCATCACAATATCATCTGGATTAAATATTAAGGGTCTATATGGAAAATAGTAAATTTCCTTGAATCTGCTTTTGTGTTGAGCTATTTATGCACTGAATATACATTGTTAACATTTTTATGACTTCTTTATTATTCCCCCTTCGAAACTTTGTGCCTGACAGCACCTTTACATATCGATATAATGTTCCGGTAAACGTTGTCAGTTTAACGATTTTTCGCATCAGTCGTCTAAAGATATGAATGATCATTTTTGCAAAATTGAAAAGAAAATGGCGTACCCCAACCACATGGTAACAAGGACGCGGAAATCTTACACTGCATGGAAACAGGAAAGCAAATCGAAAATCTATGACTTGATTGCTGTACTACATAGTCAAGGTATCAACATAATTTGTTAGCTATATATGTGAACTTATAAAGTGGTATCAGGTGAGTAAGAGAGAGAGAGAGAGAGAGAGAGAGAGAGAGAGAGAGATGGGGTTTAACGTCCACTCGACACAAATTAGGTCATTTCGGGACTAACATATGGTTCATTTTTTTTATTTCAACAATTCGCTTGCGCGTAAGGGTCTTTAGCAGTGGGAGGAAACCGGATTACCCGGAGAAAACCCACGAGGTTGGACAGGCGACCCTACTCCTTGTCACGTACAACCGGGAAATCGAAGGTGAGTAAGAATAAGCATAATACAATATAGGTACGCAATAGATCCGAAGAGACAATTAAGTGCAAAGATCCATTAACGAAAAGGCAAAATTAAATTTATAATTTGTGGAATATGTGAAAATAATCAGTACCACATTAGTGAAATAGTATCAGATTTTCGAAAATGAGTAACTATACCACACCCACCCCCGTTAAACTCCACATATCCTACTAAGTATAATTATTGTAAATCTAGATATGGTAATAGTTTGTGCTTTGTCATCAGCTGGTGCGTTGACTTAATTGATTTAACGAAAGATACATAGAATAGAATCCACTTTATGTAGGCTAAATTAATTATGATGAATATAATCGATAATCATATTCACATTTTGTCAAATTATTCATAACCATTAAGAACACGTGGAGATTTTTTTTCTGGTCGATAAAATATTTTCAATACATGTACTTTTGGAATAATTATTAATATCATTATAAGTCGGATAAAAGGACGATGTATCAATGTGAAATCGCATACTAATCACTTTTCGAGATCAAGCGCTGATATAAACAAGTCATTAGTTTAATAAGAAAAATAAAACAATAACCCGTCCGAAACTTCCTGGATCGGCGCTAGAGGGTTGTCATGTGACAAGTATTCAATAAACACCATCACTGAAATCGGGAAAATTATTTCGTCGACAGTATTTAACGTCGATATATCCTTAATTCTTTTGATTATAAGTATGTGGGTAGAAGATGGGCATGCTCCCGTAAAATATCACACAAGAAATAGACCCCACCACATAAACTTATAGTATACAGAAGCATACGACGTACCTTTTGACGAAAAGGTCTGCGATTATGGAGATTAATTGATGTGAGAATATCAATAATTCTTGTTGTTATACTTTTGTATTTAAACCACTGGGTGGGTGCGCCAGGTACAAATCATATCGCTCCTTTAAACATACTTTATGCAAGAGCCAAATCTGCCTATTGCAGGTCTTCCTTTAGGCCTGAAATGTTATCTAAATTATTAATTAGACTAATTACCTCATCCAGATAATAATCAACTCTCGGTGTCATCGCTAGTCTACGATATTTACTGGATTAGGACGAAAATTCAATCGCTAAATTCTCGGTTCAGAGTGGATCAATTTGACTGAAATTGTCAGCAAATTCCCTTTACATTATCAAGTTTTTAACTATTAAAGTGAGAACTGCCAGTTCTTTATCTAATCTCCCATAATCTATCTTTAAGGTATAGGTAGTGACGGTACACAATGCAGGGTATATTTACTCTTTCTAAACACCTGATATCACGTCTCATTTTGGGGATTTCACATGGCTAACATTTTCTGCTGTACATTTAAGAACCAACGGATGTCCTTTGAAAATAAAATTACTCACATGTTTCTGAGTTGATGTCTTCCGATACGACACGTGCTTCTGTTATAGCGTACTAAAATTAAACTAAGTGTAATTCTTATGATTTATATGGCGATTACCACTGACCTATTAATAGATAAGATAAAGTATTATATGGTCTACAATAATTTATGGATGATCCTCAATAATATTTACTAGCTCGTTTAATCGTGAAAAGAATAAATCTACGTGTATACAGTCTCACTAGATGAAAAACAATATCTTTTTGTACTTAAAGCGACAATAGGTAAGATTAGATAAAGAGCTGAAAGTTCTCGCTATAATAGTTAAAAACAGATATTGAAAAGAGAATATTTTGAAAATTTCAGTCAAATTACTTCACTCTGAATCTGGGCCAAGAAATCGGCGATATAATAAAAGCTAGCCTCGATTGTCATTAATACCGTTGTAATAAACAATGTCTCAATTATCCATTTTTTACCGTAACCGCATCCAGCAAAAAAACGTATTTGAACCCACGAAATATCGCAGGCATCCGATGGCATCGAAAGTTGATTATGGTTTTGGTAAGTTAATAAATGTCTAATAAATAATTTAGATAACATTTCAGGTCTAAAGAAAGATCTGCAATAGGCAGATTTAGCTCTTGGTATAATGCATGTTTAATCTAACTAATGAAATATACATACTTTAATGTCTAAAGTCTGTCTCACACGGGCCTACGTTACCCTGGCGTAGGTTGTGTGTAGGGTCAATGTGTAGGGTGATTCCGTGGTGACGCCACAGTGACGCTGCGTAACACCTACGTCAGATGACGAAATCTTGAGTCGAGATTTAAAAAAACCCCAACCCAGCAGCAGTATTTTCACATTAAAAATAACACAATTAAATGGGAGATCAATCACTAGTTTTATTCTAAAAGCACAACGTTTCGACAGGTATCCTCTTAACGTTATCAAGCATAAATTTTAGTGAAAGGTCTATAATATAGTGATCTTAGAAAAGGATGGCGTGACGTCATGCACACTTGATCTTGGCAACTTCCTGCAGTACACATGATGGTACAGGTCAACGTTACATTGGAAAATATTTCTATTTCTAAAATAAAAAAGTTGATTAAAATGGTTCGTCAAGCGTATTATATAGGTGCTTTTAAAGGAAAAAAACTCCAACATATTAACACCCAGAGGATGTTAAATTTTTCTATCTTCGGAATTTAAAAGATAAAAAGGCATGGAAACACCATAATGTGCTCGTTGACACATTGCAATTTGTAGTAGACATTTTGTTCACGGAGACAGAAGAAATTTGTGAACAATAATTCCCCGAGTCGGCGAATCATTAGCAAAAAATAACTAGATTTCGCACAATTTAAAGTGCCAAAAACACCCTCAACAAAGTCGTCAGAAACAATGTGTAGGTCACCATCATTTCCCGAGAAAGTCAGGCGTCCCCATGCTTCGTCGGTG